AGGACAGAAGTAGAATAGGGTGCTTGAAATCAATGATACATGTTTGGAACTGCCCCTATGAACAATGGCAGAAGAATCAATCAGAAATAAGGAAAGATCTCAAAAATATTGAGAGGCTAGAGAAGACTGGCATAGTGAAGATCAAGTGAAAAAGCAATACTGCTGAGTTGATCTGAAGGTGAGTAAAAGATATCAACCTACGAGGACAAGGGGGACTAGGCGAAGAGTTGCCAGCAGACAGAAGACGTCAGTACACAGCAACATAAGGTAACTGCAGAGGGTGCACCAATGAACAGAGATTTGATTAGCTCTCCATATTTCCTGAGAAAAAGCAAATATAAAGGTAAAGGCAGACTGAGCTTCAATAGTGTATTGATTCTATTAGTTTGTGTGGTTAGATTGGGGTCGCCAAACTACAATCCACAGGTCAAATGTGGCACCATCTGTTTTGGTACAACTTGCAAGCTAAGAATGATTGTTACATTTTTAAATGGTTGAAAAAAAAATCAAAAGAAGAATATTTCATAACACATGAAAATTATATGAAATTCAAATTTTAGTGTCTATAAATAATGTTTTACTGGCATACAGCCATACTCATATCTGATATTGAACTATCTTTGCATTCCCAGGATAACATTCATAAAGTAAACAAGCCTATACTTTTCCACTCTTGTGTAGTCTTTATCTTGTTTGGCAACAAGATTATTTTGGCCTCAGTAAATAAGCCATGCACAGTTTTCACTCTTTCCATTTTCTGCAATAATTTGGATAAAATAGGAACTAACCGTTTCTTGAAAATTTGGTACAAGTCGTCCCTAGACCCGATTTGGGCCTGAAGTTCTTTTGGGAGAAGGGGGTCTTTAACATTTCAATTGTTTAAAAATCTTACTGTTCTATTCATATTTTCTATTTCTTCTTATGCCAATTTTGACATTTTATATTTAGGAATATATAGCTATTCAAAAAACCATCATTTTTATAATTCTTTATTCTATCTTTATTATTGGGCCTATAGTTATTTCTTCTATTTTGTTCTATATTTTATTTTTCTGCCTTAACTCTTTTTTTAAATTAGTTTGCTAGCAATCTATTATTCTTATTATCTTTCCAAAGAGCAAGTTTTTTGCTTTGTTAATATTTCATAAACTTGACTTACAAAACAACATCATTTCTCTATACCAATAAAACTAAACAATGTGATAAAGAAGACACCATGCATGACAACTATAACATAATAAGAGTTTAAGAATTAACCAAAAATATATAACATGCCTCTTGAGAAAACATTATTAAACTCTAACAAGACATAGAAGATGATCTGGATAAATGGAAATATATTACATGTTCTTGAGTGGGATAATTTAACATGCCAAGTCTTCCCAAATTAACCTCTACATTTAATTAAATCCCAATAAAAATCATAGTCACACTTTTTGAGGCACTCAGTAGACATATTCTAAAATTTATATGAAAGAATAAAGGTCCATGAATAGCTGTTAACTTTGAGAAAGAAAAGAAACAAGAGGGACCTAGCCCTACCAGATATTAAGAAATACTGTAAAACCACAGGGATAAAAAGATGTGGCCTTGCTGCAAGAATAGATAAAAAGACTAATGAATTAGAACAGAGTTCAGAGACAGATCCGTGTACCTTGAGAACATAAACAAAATAGGTAGCACTACAAATCAGTGAGGAAATGATGCATTTTCTAGTGGATGGTGTGAGAAAAATTGACTTGCTATATAAGAGGAAGAAAAAATACACCTAGAATCCTGCCTAATACCAAATACAAAGATAAACTCTAGACCAGGGGGCAGATTATGACCTGAATACCAGACACCCGTTTTTGTAAATAAAGTTTTATTGGGAAAAGCCATGCCTATTCATTTACATATGCCCATGGCTGCTTTTATGTTCCAATGGCAGCGTTGAATAGTTGTGATAGAGACCATCCGCCCTGCAAAGTTTAAAATATTTACTATCTGTCCCTTTAAGAAAATGTTTGCTGACTCCTGCTCTACATGAATTAAAGACCTTAATATAAAAGGTAAAACTACAAAATTAACAGAAGAAAATATATCAGAATCTCTTTTGACCTTGGTATGGGGGAGAACTTCTTAAATAAAACTCTAAATTATAAACCATAAGGCAAAAAACTCTTTAAGCTTATTACATAGAAATTAAGGATTTCTGCTAAATAAATAATATCATGGATGAAGGTAACTGACAAAAGACTGAGAAGTTATTTGCAAAGTCCAAAACCAAAAAGAGACCAATATCTCTAATATATAAGAATCAGCTATAATTTAATAAGGAAACAAGAAGCTCAAAAGAAAACTAAGCACAGAATTTAAAGAAGCAATTTGCAGGGAAAAAAATCTAAATATATAAGCATAGGAAGAGATGCTCAAACTCATTAGTAATCAGAGAAATGCAGATTAAACTAACATAGAGATGTCACTTTATACCCTCAGACTTGCTAAAATTAGACAGCTATATAATGCCATTCCTTGATATTATATAGAAACCTAGTTTCTCCCAATTCTGGTATTAATTATCAATACTAACTAAAATGAAAAATCACTCCACTCTGGAAACAAAATTTAAGAAGTAGCAAAATATAATAGACACGTATCTATATTCAGTTAGTATCTTATTCAATATAGATATTCAGTAATTGTTTGCTGAATTGAATATTCAGCTATGAATGTGCTGGCACTCACAAACTGCATTAAGAAAACAAAGATAGGTAAATATTCACATTGGCTAGTTTTCTTAATTCAAGTGTTTGCAGGTCAGAAAACCAGCCAGAAGAAAATTAAATGTTTTATTGCTAACCTGGATACGAAGTTTCACTTGAAATTATGTCAGACTTATATTTTTAAGGATTTTAAAATATAACCTTGCAGTTTCTAAAACCACTGGCTCTGTACTGAATTGAAAGTAGGTAGTATACACATACACATCACTAGAGGCAAATGGAAGCAGAACGACATTTCTCATGCTCTCTTTAAAGTCTGACAATAATCACGGCAATAACTACACATACACACATACTACTTACAACTTCTGAACAAGCTGTTCCTGTTTCCTTCCTCCTCTCTTCATGGTTCCACAATTACAACAGCAGCCCACATCAAAAACACTGGCAGTCCTTTCACATCTCTTTGTGTGCCATGACAGTGAACAGTAACTAATTTGGATTTTTTCCCTTTGCCATAGTCCTTACATCAGCTCCTTCTTTCCAACTCACCGCCACTACTGCAGTTCAGAGCCCAGCCTCAAGTTCAGATTACAGTTAACGCCTCTTAATTACTCTTCCTTCCCCTTTTTTCTCCCTTATTCCCTCTCCCCTTTCTTCCTTCTTTTCCTCTGCTCTTCCTCACTACATCCATCCATCCAAGCGGTATTTTTTGAGTATCTATTATGTTTCAGGTCCTGTTTCTTTGTTGGGGATACAGCAATGATGAAGACAGATAAGGCCCCTGCTCTTGCAGAATTTTTTTCTCGGTTCTTCAAATATATATTCTATATTCAGCTATTAAAACAAATTTTCCCTTAGAACTGCGTTGCCCTTTGCCAACCTCATTCAAAAATATCTACTTGTTTTCCATGGCCTGCAGAATAAAAGTCCAAACTTTCCAGCTGACCTCCCAAGATCCTCTAGGGTCTGGCTCCATTCTGTCTTTCCAGCTGAATCTCCTACTACTTCACTATGTGTACCCCGTGCTTCAGCTAAACTTGAGTACTTGTTTTAAACCCTATCTATGGCAAAACAGATGAGGTACCATAAGATAAAGTTACAGGTTGAATGCAGCAACAACAAAAACCTAATACAAGATAACACAGAAAAACTAAAGAGTAAACGAAGAAAGGATGCAAAAATGGACTACCCACTACTTCCCACAACTATTCTTTGATTGTCTTATTAGTGCCACAGGACACACCCAGAGACGTGGGAGCAGGGCTTTCCTCTAAAGGCAAGGTGTATCAGTCACTCTGGGAAAAGGTGACTGTGGAATACAAAAGGAGGGAGGCCTTTGAACTATAGACAAAAAGGACTTCCTCTCATCTCTTGGGATAAGAACAAGCTAGAAGGGAAGAAGTCCTTCTTGGAGAGTCCCAAAAGAGATCCAGTGGTAACAGTGAGCTGCCCCAGACCTATGGAAGTAGGGCAAAAGTGAACAGCAACATAAGCCTCTATTATTCATTGGCAGTAACAGAATCAAGAGCAGCACAGAGAAGCAGCCAGTTTCTGGGAGAATCATATGAAGGAAGCGGCTGTGGCACACCCTCCAGTCTCAACAGGATGCATCTAAGTTCTAGCTCCACTAGCAGAGCAGAATCCACAACTAACTCTTTGAACCCAAGGCTGGAGGTGAGACCCAGGTGTAGTGTTAAGAGGAGAACGCCAGAGGGAATGAACCTGAGGACTTGCACGAAATGCACATGAGGCAGCACAGTAGAAAACTTGCAAAAAGCTAGAGGACACTCTGAAACGGCTAATTTCTAGTAGGCCAGGGGAGACTTGTGTCACAATAATTTGTGTATAAGTAAGTGTGATTTTATTTTGCAGTCACATGCAGATGACATAGAGGACCTAAGGGCTATATTTTCACTTTTTTTAATGATAATTATTGCTGTCATATTTGTGTGCCTCCCTCCCTCCTTGTCTAGATAGTGAGCTCCTGTAAAAGCAGAACAACACCCATTATAAGATAAATTTTCCATGAATTGCTTTGTCCCTTGTCAATTTTTATAAGGTTTTTCTATTTCCCACAAAACCTTGCATGATGAGTCTTCACATAGAAGTACAAAAACTATCTGTTTAATGAATAAATGAACTCACCTTTACCTTCTAGGTGAAGTGTGATTAGTGCTGAAAAACATTCTACATGAAAGATTACATGAATGTTACATTCACAGTAAGAAGAAAGTTACCAAAATCGTAAGTGCATATAAAATTATATCCCTAAACAAAACAAAATCAACTTACTAGTAATCATTGCTCCAGTGATAGAAGCCAGAAATCCGATGCTGACTGCAATGATAGAGATGACTCTCCCCTGCCTATGCCTCTGCAGCATCACAAACATCAACACTCCTGCAGCACCATGGACAAACAGAGAGGAGAAGAGAGCCCATAGAAAGATCCAGTACCACATCTCTGAAAGGAAAAGCAAAGTGTTAATAATCCTGTTGACAACATCTTAGAAAATTCAGTTTAACAAATAGTGAGCATCTAGGGTTTAGGAGAAGGCTAAATGAGATAACAGATACAGAAATGCTAGTATAGCACCTAACACATAGTAGTACTAAATAAATTTTAATGATTATCGTCATCACTAAAGCTCGATGGGGAAAATAATCCCATGACTTCAGAAGGTTAAGGCCATACTCTAATTTCTGATTTTCTAAATGTCTCTGTCATAGAGCTAAAATCCATCAAATTGCCTAATAAACCCCTAATATATTTGCAAACTTCTTAGATTAAATTATATGTTGTTATTTGATATATAATTTCCTATTTTCTACACTAAATAACAGTGTTAAGACATTTTTAAAAACTACGCCTTAATTCAAATCATTCCAAAAATCAGTCAATGATTTTATCTTTTATGATTTTAAGAATTTCAGGCAACTCCTCTCTTGGCTCTCAACTTTATATACTAAAGAATCAGTTAGAATTTTTTTAATTCGTTGCCTCAGGTCTTTTTAATAGTCCTTACCCAGAACTTTTCAAGCTCCATTATTCTCCCTTCAATGCATCCTCAATTACCGTTCACTGAAGTTTAGTTTACAGACAGTTGACGAGCACACCTTTCATTCTGTCTCTCTAGCATTCATTCCCTTTCTGTCTGGCTGCCCGCTGCCTCCTGGTCAATCCACACAGCTCCAGTGGATACCGCCAGGTCCTTGCAGTGACTCCAGCTCCCTGACCTCGCTTGTGGTGAGGCCCATCAGGGCAGGCAATTGATCCAAGCTGGGCCAACCATTCCCTTCTCTGAGAGTTCTGGATTGGGATCAACTGAACACCTCAGTCTTTGGGGAGCTGAAGCCGAAAGGCAGGATTTGTGAACAGCTACTTCATCATCCCATGACAAAAGCCACAATAGAGGATGAAAGAAAAATAGACCCATCAAAGGCAAGAGACAACCGAGTCCCTTATTCCAGTGATTTCTAAGACCCAACACGTTTCTACCCTCAGATTCAATGTAACTTCCCAGTTTCCTCGTAATAAAAATCCCTCTTTTTATTTAAACTAGTTCAAGTAAGGTTTCTGTTACTTATAGCTGAAAGAGCTGACTCCAAAATGGTTAGATGTCACCTTGAGGATCACCCTTGGTATGCAAAAATTCTATAATGCAAAATATCTCATCTGATATTTGTGCTAATATTCAATATCAAGTGTAAAAGGAAGGTCAATAAAATAGTCATGACATAGAATAAAAATGGATGAATTAAAACTTAGTTATCAAAACATCACTAAAGTACAGACATACACTGTTGATGGGAATGTAAAATGGTACAGCTGCTATGGAAAACAGTATGGCAGCTCCTCAAAAAATTAAAAAAAGAATTACCACATGACTCAGCAATTTCACTTCTGGGTACATATCCAAAAGAATTAAAAGCAGGATCACGGACAGATATTTGCACACCCATGTTCATAGCAGCATTATTCACAATAGCCAACAGGTAGAAGCAATTCAAGTGGCCATCAACGGATGAATGAATAAACAAAATATGGTATATACATACAACGGAATATTATCCAGCTTTAAAAAGGAAGGAAATTCTGACACATGCTACAACATGGATGAACCTTGAGGACATTATGCTAAGTGAAATAAGCCAGTCACAAAAGAACAAATACTGTATGATTCCACTTCTATGAGGTACCCAGAACAGTCAAATTCATAGAAACAAAAAATAGAATGGTGGTTGCCAGGGGGTTGGGGGAGAGGGAAATGAGGAGTTGTTGTTTAATGGGTACAGAGCTTCAGTTTTGCAAGAGGAAAAAGATGTGGAGATCAGTTGCACAATAATGTGAATACACTTAACACTACTGAACTGTACACTGAAAAAAATGGTTAAGGTGGTAAATGTTATGTTACGTGTTTTTTCACATTAAAAAAAATTAAATAAAATGTTTGAAAAGTATAGATATAAATTTAAAAGATAATTATTTTAAGTCAAGACCATAAATGACCAGGCATTTAAAAACAAAACAAAAAACTCCCTTACGAAAGGAAGGAAAGTGTGGTTATAAAAGGGTAACACTAAGATCCTTGTGGCAACAGAACGGTTCTGTATTTTGACCGTGGTGTTGGACACGTATACAAGTGATAAAATTGTATAGAACTAAACACACACACACACACACAGGAATAAGCACAACTACACAAGTAATACCAGTAAAATCTGAATATGCTTGGTAGATCGTATCAATGTTAATATCCTGGTTTTGATATTATACTGTAGCTTTCCAAGATGTTCCCACTGGGTAAACTGGGTAAGGGGTACATGGGCTCTCTCTGCATTATTTCTTACAACTGCATGTGAATCCACAATTCTCTTAAAATAAAAAGTTTAATTAAAAAAAAAAAAGGAAGTGGGGAAATACACAAAAAGAGTTTTTAAAAAATCAGTTTCACCCTGCCAAATTCTTAAGAATTGACACTCAGAAAGGACTCAGATAATTTGAAATCATGTCAAGGAAGAGATATCTGACATATTTTCCATCATGTGTTGAAGTGCCATGCATGCTTCTCAATGGCATAAGAGAGAGATGCTGGTGATTAAGAAAACAGACAAAGCTTGCCTTTTAGAGGTTTTTCTCTTCCAGCTTTCAGGGAAATAGTGCTTTCCTGCTGTCACTCCCAAACAAATGGCTTCAATTTATAATAAATGCATTAAAGACAAAAAGGCTTAACTTGCTCAGAAATATTTATATTTTGAAAGACAGAATTTTCCAAAGTGAACCTAATACTGAGAACAGAAGGGAGTAATAATGTACGGGGGGACATTTTCATGAAGGGAGCTCTGAGACAAGGAAAAGCCCTGCAACAAAGACACACTCCTAATGAGAAAAGTCAATAATGTGCTTTGCATCCCAAGCCCACTTCTGACAGCTTATCAGATCTACCCCCAGAAAGCACTTTTCTTTGTTGTCCTTGGAATGCAAGAAGAGTGAAAAGTTTCTCTACTATACTTAACACTATGAAGGAAGGATTGACATTATAAGTAATGTTTGCCTACTGACTGTATAGCTATTGACCTCAACAATAAATTTATCTAATAAACAGGAAAAGTAAATTTTAAGTTTAATGTTTTATAAAGCTCACAATATCAAAGAATTATACAACTAAAATAGAATCTCAAATAGTCTTCTAATGACCAATCCAGGATTATCCCTTAAGCAGACTGAGCACAGAGAAACTACCTAAACTCAAATTTGTTTTTATGTTTCTTTCTCTTTTTTAAAATCATACTACTTACCATGGAAAAAACTGAACTCTGCTGAGAATATCTACAATTCACGTAGGTTTCACGTTATCACCATTATTTCGAATTACCTGATGGATCAACACAAGCCTGTCGGTGAACAGGGCCTCTAAAAATCTTGATCTACTCCGGACAAACAAGCCTGTCTGAGGTCCTGCTCACTGGCAAACACAGGACACCTACTGGCTCAGTTCAGGTGAAGAGAACAGCAGGATCCTAAGAGAAGAGCAAGAACTTATGCCCAAGAGCCCTAGAGAAAAAACAGGTACCAAGAGGACAGGAGGGGAACATCACCACCTTTTCTTAAACACTCTAGGCCGTACAACTAACATGACCAGCCAGAGGCGTACAGTTTTTTCTTTCCATCATACCCCATCTAATCCAAGCTTCTAACAATTGAGCAACAACGAAAGGAGGAAGCCAGAGGGAGACTTTGCTAGTGCAAAATACAAACCAAAATTTTAAAAATACAAGGCACAAAACAGAAACTCTGAAGCATGCCCTCCAGGCAATCACCTTAATTCACTGGAAGGAGAGATCCCTTCTTCCTCGGGACATCTCCTAAAGCCCTTCTGTTAATTTTCCCTATTCAAGGCTGCCCATAATCTTCATCTTATACCGGTTTTGCCTGGATTTTTGCAGTGTGTCTGTTTACCTTTTAGTGGGATAAGAGGCAGGAGAGTTGTGATTTGTTCCAGCCTCCAAACAATACTAGAAATAGCCCTGCTCCCAATCTGTATCTCTCATCAGCACTGGTTGCCAAGTCACTCAAAAATTATCTTCTGTGCTTTTGTTTTTAATCCTTGGACAAAATTATTTATGAAAAATGAATTTTTCTAGATGTCTAGAATATATAACTGAGTAAAATCAAGTGAAAGAATGGTATATTATTGTTTGATCTTATTTGTTTAAAAAATTATATGTTACACATGTACAGAAATACATAAACAGAAGAACAATGGCTGTCTTTTAAAGCTAAGATAGAAGATGCCTGATTTTACATATTCTTTACATAGTTTGCTTATTTTTTAACAACCCGCCTGAAATACTTTTTAGAAATTTTTACTACAAATATACTGTCTTTAAAAATAGTTTTTCATTCTACAATTCATCAAAGCCAATGGTTCTCAACTGAGGCTGCTGACGAGAATTACCCATAGAGCGTCTAAAACAATCTCTGCAGGTGGGACCTAAACAACTACTTTTTTAATCAAGTCTACCAAATAATCATGGCATGCAATAGAGACAAAAATCACTATTCTAGGCTAAAGTTAAATAAGAGGTATTTATTAAAAAATGCAAGTCATAAAAACAAGGAACCTATCTCATTAGACAAATGCTATAGTCTTTGATCCTCTATAGTGTATCTAACCCTTCTAATAAAATCATTAGCAAGTAGATACCGAACACTCACTATGTACTCATCCCCTAAGCCTCAAGCTGAAAATACCAGACCAGTAAGACTATGTTTTGGGGCTGTTCATAATTTTCTACCTTCTTTACAGAAATGGTCCATATTATATGTTTAAATAATCTGTGTTCAAATTAGGTTATCTCAATATTTAAGCTTTTATTCATTCCAGCAAATCCAAGGTATGGAACTAGCTCTTAGTTTCCAACATCTGTGACTTCTCAGTTTGGGGATATGTCTCACATATG